AGTCGGCAAGGGAGGCAAGGCGGGCTTTCACAGCTAGACCTGGCACCCCGAACGGATTACCGAGCCACCCAGCAGTGCACTAACCAGCAGCCGTTCCAACCATCTGGCCTCCAACTGCCTTGCGCTGATACAATCGACCGGAGCCCCCAGACCCCACATGAAGCCAAAGATCGAATTTGTCACACTAGGTCGGCAGGAACGTCCACCGTCCCATGGAGATGATGTCATGGACTCGACCAAGTGCAAGCACTCGGCCAAGCTGGATAAACCCGTATAAGTGTTTGGGACAACCATATAGCGTCGGCGTCAATAGTCCAGGATCTTTACGGCTGCTTCCTCAAATGAATCATCTAGGGCCACCTTCAAGTATCCATGAAAGCTATTGTCAAAATATTTCAAAATTTACCTACACTCAATGAACGGGATTCAGATTTAGAGACGTTCAGTCCTAATCCTCCAGAGTGGCTAACCACAGCCACAGCCTTGTGACCATAAACACGTACCATTATTCTGGACCATGCGAAGCATGATATCCTAAGCGTTTGGAACGGCTTTTAGCCACAGTGCTGTAAACACGTTACCTGGCAGGACCACAAAGAGGTAGCCGCCACCACAACTCCCAGAAGGCTCCATTTATGCGCGTCACATAATATACCCATTCAATTAGATGATGAGGCATTTGGCAATCTTAAGAAAGTCATAGTTACTCCAGCAAAGAATCTATTCTGTGTTCCGACCTCGGTGTGAACATCAAACACAGATTCTGTATGCTCAAATAAAAAATTCCATAAAAATTTATTTTAACACATAATTATTCATTGAACATTTAATCATTTCATTCAATTATCAATTTAATTATACCTAAATAATTAGTTTTTATTCTTATTTTCAATGATCTTCATTGATTTAATTGAAAATAAATGATAAGATTATAAATTTTTTTTAATGATGTAACGTGAATTTTAACCTTTAGTCAGATTTATTTTTCTAGCATTTTTGAGTTAGTCTCATGTTTGTTTTTTTTTTAAAATTTAAAATGTTCGCTAAAAAAAAGTTGTGTAAAGAATAGTTTTATTTTTAGATTGTATTTGTAGGATTTTTCACTATGTACGCTTGAAGATATTACGAGTTCACCTTAGTCGATAAACGAGAACGAGACAAATACCAGCGTCCAGATAGGCTACCTTCAATCCCCAACTAAAGTTAGAAGGCTTTGTCAGCGTAGAAAGTATATTCTACAAACACCCAGCAATCACACAACACAATCAAGCACACAACCCTCGTTTATTTATACATCAGAGAAACGTCCTTGAAACAGTTAAGAAAATAGCACACTAAATTACACAGCTGCCAATCACAGACATGGATTTTCCTGGTGGGAAATGAAATCTCAAGGTCAACTGATCAGCCCATGCTGGCAAACGTGAAATCCAAAATAAGGCATTTATCAAGCGAGTTCTGGGGATCTAACATCCTCAACAGTATTCACGAAAATGATTGATCTCTAATTAAAGTGTCTATGATAATTAAGGATTAGTAAATACTTGTTTTGTCCAATTATCAAATTCCACAGTATTGATTGTCGATAAATTTTCCATGAGGTTGAATTAAGAATCATTTGATCTCATGGAAAAACATGTAGTTACTTAAATACTGTTGGGGATGTTAGATCCCCAGAACTCGCTTGATAAATAATATCTTTATTTTGGATTTATTTCATGGACCGATCAGTTGACCTTGGGATTCCACCAGGAAAATCCTTGGTTGTGATTGGTTAGTGTGTTGTTTTAGTGTGCTATTTTGTGACTGTCCCAAGGACGTTTCTATAGAGTATAAATAAACACAATTTGAGTGCTTGGATTGATTGTGTGCTGGATGGGTGTTTGTAGAATACAATTTCTACACTATATCAAGACTTCTTGCTGGTACAATTTGGTCAACGGATCGTATTAGCCCACCAGGACACTGGTTCATTGTTTTGTTCTCGTTATTCAACTAAGGCGTTTAAGCATACCTATAGACGAGCGTAACACATACTGACACTAGTTACACTTTGACCTGGACTTTCCATTCCAGTTCTAACCGATTGCTGTTCATTCTTTTCATGTGTACTTCTGATGGTCAGTGTAATGTCTTCGTTAGTCTTGCATTTTTCATTGTGCGTGTTAAGACCTAACTCCTCCTGCAGCCTCTCTGCAGCTACTACCTTTCCTAAGACAGGAAAAAGGAGAAGGATTGGGCTTAAATTTGTAGGTCTTATCCCGTAGAAAACTGACTCACCAAAAAAACGCTAACAAGAAAACATGATTCAAACCATTTTAACTCTGCCCTGGGAGTTGGAAGAAGAATTATGACGTCTCGTGTTGAAAGTCGAGTTCCCTAGGAAGTCACGGGGCCGATGCCTCTTCTGACAACCAGAGCAACCATTCTTCTAGGTACATGGAACGTCCGTACATTGTGGGAGACTGGAAGACTATTTCAAGTTGCGGCGGAAATGAAAAGATACAACCTCGAGGTGCTTGGAATCAGTGAAACGCATTGGACACAAGTAGGACAACTGAGACTAGCTTCAGGGGAACTGCTGTTATACTCTGGTCATGAAGAGGAAAACGCTTCACATACACAAGGAGTTGCACTGATGCTGTCCAAACAAGCACGAATGACAATGATAGGATGGGAATCTCATGCACCCAGGATCATTAAAGCATCCTTCAAAACAAAGAAAGAGGACATTACAATGAACGTCATCCAATGTCATGCACCTACCAATGACTACAATGATGACGTTAAAGATCAATTCTACAAAAGTCTGCAGTCAATCGTTGACAGATGCTCACCAAAGGATTTGACGATTCTTATGGGAGACCTAAATGGCAAGGTTGGCATGAACAACACTGGATATGAAGACATAATCGGACGACATGGACTATTAGAAAGGAATGAAAACGGTTAGAGATTTGCAAACCTATGTGCCTTCAACAAACTGGTCATCGGCGGCACAATATTTCCACACAAGCTCATACACAAAGCCAAATGGATTTCACCGGATCTCATTACTCAGAACGAAATCGACCATATCTGCATCATTAAAAATTTCAGAAGGACAATGGAGGATGTTAGAACCAAAAGAGGAGCTGATATAGCTTCATATCACAACTTGCTGGTCGTCAAAATGAAACTCAAACTCAATAAACAATGGACAGTGGGGCAGATAACATCGGGATACCGTAAAACTCAACGAACTGAAGATAGCCCTCAGCAATAGGTTCCAGGCCTTGCAGGATCTACTTAATGGAGAGGAAACAACCATGGAGAACAATTAGAAAAGGATCAAAAAGGCAATTACTTTAACATGCCAAAAGGTTCTGTTCCACAGGAAATAACATCACAAGGAATGGATCTCTGTCGATAAGCTGGATAAAATTGAAAAAAGGAGGAACAACTATGGTGTAATGAACATCAGCCGAACAATAGCAGTAGCCTTAGCAGAAGAAGGTCTCAACATACTTACTTAATTACTTACTTACGCCTATTACACCCAACGGAGCATAGGTAGTCAACCAGTTTTCCCCAACCTAATCTGTCCTGAGCTTCCCTTTCCACTTCTGTCCAATCTTTGCTCATTCTTCTCATATTCAGATGCATAGACTTAAATAAGGGCCGAATTGATTTGATAGTAAGTTACTTTACAATTCACCATTATTTGTATGAATTTCAGTGAGTTAAAACAGTAATAAATCGTTACATTCAGAATAGAATTTTCCTTGGGGAAATGTTACATAGGAATGAATTGAGGTCTTCTCAACAGTATTTGTTGTGGACTAATCCTATTTGAGGTAGTACTGGTCGCATTTAGTATCGAATACTCGATAATTAATTTGTAATACGATGGAAGTTAGACATTGACATTGTCCGAAAAATGGCTCAATAGTCTACCGGTTAAGCGTTTCCAGCTGAAACTAAAGTTTCATGAAAGATTTCGATGAACTGTTCCACCCGTCTTAATCCAAAAACTCCTCCCTATAAACATGTCAACGAACTGAATTAAATATTTTTAATTCTATCGAACCATTGAACAACACGATTGAGATACTGGTGAACTCAGAATTTGTCTAAACAATGGCTCTCAAATCGTGCGGTTTCTAAGATGTTTAACCTGTCTGAATATCTATAAAGAAAAAGGCTTCGATAATATAATATAATAACTGATATCTAAACCTAATGTCAACAACAATCTGACATCAACTGAACCGGAACTTATTGAGTTTAAACAGAAAACTAAGGGAATGCACACAACAGGAAACAATCGTTATAAGCCTGGAAAGGGAGATAAGATAGGAGTGACACTATTAAATTATGTACAAATATATTTGCTCATCACACACAACAGTCCTGTTGGTGTTACATTACACTCATTAAAAAATGATCAAAGAGAAAATGGTATACTGAATAAAAAATAAGTAGTATAAATTATAAAACAATAGAAATGAGAGGAGTTATATCATTTGACAAATATTTACAGATGGAAATGTCTTGATTAACCAACAAGCCTGTTGCACATACATGCCGATACTTTTTAAGCAACACTGGGATTCTCACGAATACTGATTCATGATAACCCCTGCCCCATACGGGAACGCACATGTTGTTTAGATTTTCCCGGAAAGCAAGTTGGAGATTCGATTAGTGTACGCACAAACAGTCACCCTTCAATCAGTCCACTATCCACAGTCCCCAATCGGCATGAGAAGCAAGGCAGGTTTCCTTTCGCGAATTCTAATTTACTGTCATTTAGTTTTATCAAAGGTGTACATCAAACAGGAAAATGTTAAATAAGGTAGATAAGATAAGGTAACACTTGTAAGTGGTAGTTGACATCCTTTTCTGAAATTTAACATTGAAAACAAATTGAAATCAAAATCCATTGAACTTTTAATGATTTTTCTCTTTTAACAAACAATTTAGACTATAAATTCATCGTTTTCTCACTTTGTATCATAATGAATGGTCATGAACAATACATCAATACATCAGATTACGTAATTAATCCGAATCCCTGTATAAATCAACATGATACTTATGCACATCAACGATATGCTTATTCTTATCATCAATCTACACAACCATATCAAGATTATACCATAGAAAATACGGAAGAACATGTATTTCCACTGAATGAGACACATTCAATTATTTCAGATCAGATTCATGGTCTTCATCAGCATCATAATCATCATCATAATCAGCATCATCCTCATCCTCATCAACATCATGACACAACTTCATATTTAGATGAAATCAATACTGGTGAAGCATCTTCCAATCAAAATGTTATGGCACCCAGTGCGGTCACTGTAACCACACCACCAACCACAACAACCACATTATCAACAACTCCATTCAATGATCAACAACATCATTCTCATTATTATTATCAATATTATTATTTACAAGGTCAACCATATCATTCAAGTCAAGAAACGCTAGATTTGTTGACATTACAACAGAATTGTATCAATTATGATTTGAATGCGTCATGTCTGATGTTACAACACCAACAACATCAACAGCAGGAACTGGAACAACAACGACAAGTACACGTCACTGATGATGTGACTAACATAATGGAGGCAAGCACTGTAATGACTACTTCCATGAGTAATATTACAACGACCAGTACTACTACAAATAGTAATAATCTTTTGGATAAAGTCATCAGTCATATGAATATTGGAAATTCAGTTGGTGATAATCGTCATCATCATCATCATCATCACAATAATTGCATGAAATCTCAGCCGAAATTATCTACTTCCACTAATAATAATAACAATAATACTAAAGATGACGAAGGTTACGAGGATGTTGTAGGTGAAGGTGATGGAAAACGTCAACATCAAATTTTACTGAAATCTGATATGTTATGCTTGATATGTGAAGATAAAGCAACAGGTAAAGTGAATGTGTGTTATCTTTTTTATTCTAGAAGCACTGTCTTTAAAAAAATTTTCATTTCAACCCCTGTCAGATGTAGGCAGTTAACTACCGAAGACAATGAGTATAGTTTTGGAATAGTATTACGCCTGCACGTAAACACGTCAACTTGATATTATACTTGAACTATTACGAGTTTACCTAGTCGGAAAACGAGAGCGAGGATCGAGGATCCGGTGACACGACATGCTACTCAAATCCGATTATCCCAACCCATATACTTAGTAAAAAATAAGAAGACATGATATGAAGTGGAACGTGTATTCTACAAACATCCAGAAAGTAAGAGGTCAGAATCCAGAAGAGAATCAGGATCCCGGACTAGGGATCCGGGACCGAGCCCTGGTCGTGGTCATAAAATGTTACAGATAATGCGTATATATACATTTTGGTTGAATAAGAAACAGCATCGAATTCTGTGGCATCGACAGTTTAAGACGACTAATAGGAAGTAACATTTGAAGTGACATTGACAGTCCGGATGACCAATAAGAGACAACATTGAAGTATTTGACTTTGACAGTTAAAACGACCATAATTTTGACCAATAGAAATCGACCAATAGGATCTGACCAATAATAATTCTCTTAGGATATTGGATGAATATCCTAACAAATAGCATGGATTGATTACATTTTTGACGTTAATGTAGGATTTAATTTGTCTTACAGATGTACTTCTAGAACTGTACACGCAATATTGGCGAGCACAGAGTCTATAGGAAATCTATAGAGTCAGAACAAGATCAACTTTTTGCTTGAAACTTTATCTGTTTCTAAACATAGGAAAATCAATTAGATTAGTACAATAAATAAGGAAATTACAATTATCATGAAGTAAGACGAGCAAACGTACCGACCAATATAGCGTGTCTTATGGAAATGAGTACAGTTATGAGTCACATCACTATAATAAGATGATAATGACCTTTGATCAGTAGGTCATTTACTACAAAAAAGGTTTACAGACACGTCAGATCAGATCATGTGATGAGCGCTTAAACCACCATTTGATTGGTTAGTTACGATATAACTACAATTAGTTATGGAAATAGTTAACAGTTAACGTCGTTGGATGATGGCTGTGTACTTATAAGGCTTCAATCCCCACGAATGGAAATCATGGATAAGCAGTGCTGATGAGTTCCATACTGTATGACGAAACGATCGTTCAAAGCTTCCAGATATCTAATTGTGACTTAACATTGATTGATTTTTACGAGCTGAATAAAATTCAACAACCTTCACAACCTTATTCATGAAGATTGTCATTATCAGTCATGTTCATCTGATTGAAAGGGGACTGTCTTTGTCTTAAAATATCCGCCTGATAATTGAATTTTGTTTTTTTTTCATTTTGGAGGGAATTTAAATATCTGCGCTACCTGTTTGTTTTATCAAACATTTCTACAGGTAAACATTATGGTGCTTATTCATGCGATGGATGTAAAGGATTTTTTCGACGTTCTGTACGTCGTAAACACTCGTATACATGTCGACATAAGAAAAATTGTTCTGTCACAAAAGATAAACGTAATCAATGCAGATTTTGTCGTTTTCGTAAATGTTTTCGTGTTGGTATGAAAGAATCTGGTAAGAAAATTAAAGCATAAGTTTTACTAAAAATGATGAATACACTTCAGGCATTAAATGTAACCTATCGATAAGGTGTACTGGGTCTGGTGGTATAGATATGAGGAATTTGAATTGATTTCTGGAAAGGTTTATTGTTTAGGCATTTTAAGAGAGACAACGTTTCAGGTGTGAGTGTTAGTTTGAGCATCAAAACTCAAATTGTAGAATCATTGAGTTAACGAACCACAAACTAGACAAAACACACATGTCCTTAATTCAGCTGTTAGTAACTAACTAAACAATGATTGATTGATGATTTCAAATGTGTAAAAAAAACACAAACCTTCAAAACTCTGCCCCAAAATATCGTAACAGTGCTCACTAGTGATGACTAGCTTCGTGAGGAAATTCTCGGAGTTCTAGTTGGGAAGACGTGACTAATGGAGTTCAACCCTGTCGGGTGTAGGCAGTAACCAACTACCAAGGACAAATGGGTGAGGTCGCGCAAAATTCAGTAGATCAATCAGAGTTAGACATTAACACCGTTGGATGCCTGCCTAATGGTCCGATGGTTAGGTGTTCGCTGCACAATACCGAAGGTCCCGGGTTCGAATCCTGCGAGGTGTAGGAGTCGTGGATGCGCACTGCTGATGAGTCCCATACCAGGACGAAACGGCAGCCTAATGCTTCCAGGTTTCTAAAGGTGGTCTAACAATGATTGATTGATGATTTCAAATGTGTAAAAAGACACACCTCCAAAACTCTGCCCCAAAACTAACTAAAATATGTTTGAACAGGATTTTGAATAAATCTCGATATTAAGGCAGTTTACTCAGTATGCACATTTAGGAAAATAGGAAGACTGGATGCAGACCTTAGCACTGACAGTTAGAATATTTAAACTTCTACAAATGAACGCTACAAACATACTGTAGGTTAAGTATAGTTAATTCTTACAGACATAGAAATGTTACTCTTACGAAAGTTAACTGTATTTTCGCATAAAATGTGTTTGCTTATGTACACCGAATCGGTTCTATGGAGTTTATATCAGAGCAAGTAATGTTACTTAGCTTTACAAAACAAATTAAATAAAGTGTCAACCGAACCTGGAATGTATCGATCAAAACTAATTGTCCACAGATCTGGCTGTTTAACTAAGACTTAATGTTCTGTCTTCAAGAATTCTCTTTGAGGTTTTTAAACGACACCGTTGAAACAAACATCTTTTTAACATTCTTCCTTATACCAAAATGTTCGTGTAAATATGGAGGACTTTTTACACACCGTGACATTCATAGTTTAATTCACAAACTGTTAATAACTAAATACGCAACGAGAGCCTTGAAACAGTGATCTGACATATGAAGACGGAAATTTATGGTGGACAATGTATCACTAATTTCGTGACGGTTAGTATCCAAACTGTTCTTAGACTTCGTAATTTGCCCGTCCAGACAACTATTACTAAATAGCGCCTCATGGTTTATAAATCAGAAGGCCAATACGAAGTGTTGAATACATTTATTTGGCACGACACAAATAGACCACAGACCACAGACACACGGAGTGAAAGGCAAGCAAGCTAGCGAGTGAGCGAATTGGCGAAAGGTACACATCTATACATAGGAAAATGACTGAGTCATCGAAATATTTATGAGATTAACATGAAAGCCAGTAGGATGAATATTCGCGTATGCGGTAAGTAGTGTTCAGGTATATCAGCTTATACAAACCAAACAATAGTAATAGCCAATGGGACATAAAACTGTTGCTATATAAATGTCTCGGTTAAATAAATTAATCGAAAGGGCTTAACCAAATTAAATATGAGCGAAATCAACTGTATGTGGACGCACTACAAGTTTACACCATAGAGTTTAAATGTCAGTTCATCAAACAGGAGACCCTGTATTCGATTCTTGGATGTAAGGCCCTTGATACGTACTGCTGAGGTACCCATTCCATAATCTGCCAAATTCTCCTAACACCTATCGATATAAATACGGTTAATATACACAATAAAACCGCCTTTGGCACTAGAATGCTTCTTAGTTTGAAAATTAAGAGCCGAAATCAAACATGTTGAGATGTACAGTGTTTCTTTAGTATAGATAATTCGGTAATCAAATAGACTTTCTCTTCCACTCTCAACTTTTCACTCAAATAGTCAGTTTAAAGTTGTTTTCTCACACTGATATGCACACATCTTTTATTTTACGGCATTTTTTGATCATCACCAAATAACTTTCGTCTTTTTGGTCAACTGTGATTGACGCACTGATGTCGTTATCGTTATCATCAATGATCACTCTGTTTGATGATCCGTAGATTTAATCAATTTATTTTCTCTTCTCTTCTCTCCTATCTTCATCATTCAGCTGTACAAAAAGAACGTGATAAAATCAGTAATCGTCATACAACGTATGATTTGAATTCATCCATACATTCCATTATAGATTTACAAAAATTATTACAAGCTGAAGCTATAGCCAATTGTGTACGTGTTTGATAAGTGAATGTTCGATAAGTTTTGTTTTAAAATGTTCAGCGTATGAAATGACATTAGTTATTTTTATGGTTTTTTTCTTATTATGTAATTCGACTGGCTTTTGCCGACCTGAGTCTTTTGTGGCATAGGCGAGATATCCACTTGTTAACCAAAGGACGAATGTACCGTTCAGCAGTTCACTCTGTCCTACTGTAAGGATGCGAGACTTGGCCGTTAAGAGTAGAGGACATTCGTAGGTTACTAGTCCTCGATCATAGGTGTATCGGAAGCATTGCTCGTGTATCCTGGGACGATCGAGTAAGCCATTCTATCGTTAGGAAATGAGTTCTAGGTAAGGATGGCAAATCAATAGATGAAGTGATGAAACTTCATCAGTTGAGGTAGTTGGGACATGTGTTACGAATGCCTAACCACCTACTGTCTCGACGAGCTATGTTTTGTGGTGAAGAAGTAGATTGGAAGAAAGCTAGGGGCGGCCAGAACAAAACAAGGCAGAAATCCATGAACTCACTGACAAGTGGACTGTGTCATGTTGGTAGATGTAGGCTATCTGGTTGGGGTCCACGGGATGAAATTCACCAATGGTTAGAGACCTTGAACGACATGGCTCAAAATCGTTTGCAATGGCGCAGGTGCATCCACTCTTTGTGTGCTTTTTAATTCTAACCTTCTGAATTCCTCATAATCTCAATCTTTTTCCTTCCAAATTTATCTCACTGAATTATACTTTTGAATCATATCTTTGCTCCATAATCTTCTCCATTGCTGCTAATAATTCTACTATTGCTATCACTCTTGGATTTGAACAGTTACGTCTCTGTGCTGACTTGTTATGGCAACATGAACCGATGTACTTACGTACAAAGTTCCGCGTTGCATCTGTCTGTCTGTCTATTATATAATATTTTGTGATTATATACCAGAGATACTTATGGACTAACGTCTGTTGCTCTTAATCCAGTATAGGCTGCTGATCAGCATTTTCCGACCAATCATTTCTTGAGCCATACGTTTCAGTCATTCCCAATCGACATTCGTTCTTTTCATGATTGTTTCCGATTCTCATTTCAGTATACTTCTCTGTCTACCTCTTTTTCTTTGTTCTTGAGGATTCCATGTAAGGGCTAGCATCGTGATGCACTTAGGTGATTTCTTCAGTTTGCGTCTTATCCATCTCTAGCGATCTTCCTTAGTTTCGTGCTCACCTAGAATCTGGTTTGATGTCTTTCAGAAAGTGTTGTGACTGATGGTGTCTAAACAACGGATCCGCTGTATCTTACGTGAACACCTGTATTATTTTTGCAGATGGCTTTTGCATTTCTCCGAGTTTTAGCTCCATACAGTAGAAATTCCCAGACGTTTGTACCGAAAATTATGACTTCGGTGTTGGTTGATAATCGTTTCCTGTTCTAAATGTTCTCCAATCACGAGAACTTCTGGTGTTACTTTGCTAATTCAAGTCTTCACATCTGCATCAGGTCCACTTTGTCTATCAATGATTCTGTCGAGGTTTCCACACTTGTTAAAGATTCTCCAACAAGTCGGAATTTGTTGGTGCATGTTTTGTTGTATCAGAATATCTGGCTTTTTCACTGTTGATGAGTCCTCCATGCACCATTTTGTAGTGTCAACTATCGTTGTCTAAGAACCATCCATCGAGTAATCCAATCCACGCTACCAAATACGTTTTCGCATTCAAGTAAGTTGACGAATAGTGATAAGTTCCTTACAATTGATTATTCCACAATGAACCATAGTGTCGCGTGTGATTTGGTCGGTGCATGACCAGTGTTTATGGAATCCATCCTGTCATAGTTTGACATCAACTGAATACCTCATCTAGTTCAACAACAATCTGTTGAAGTTGTTTTCAGATATTTCAAGAAGATTGATATCCTTGTAGTTCTCACACTTGCTGTATGCCGGCGATAATCAGTAGAAACTTCTGAAAAGTTAATACTTATGCTCGTAATATATTTATCACTATAGAGTCGTGGTAATTGTGGAACTCTTTTTATGAGAATGACAGTCTGATCTAACTTAGATCAACAGTGAAAACTTGAAAGAACTAGAAAACCATTTCATCTTTGTTTAAGATTCTTCAACGATGATCATCTCATAATTCTGGTGAGAACACATGACTGGTAGATTTCAGTCATGTTGAATGTGATAAAGTTAACCATAGAAGAAAATAAGAATATTTAAGCATGGTCATATAGATTAAATAAAGTTAAACTTGTACACTTGTGGATATCGGCACCATGGTCAAGAAAGTAAGCATTCGTCTGCTTGACAGAAGTTCCTAGGTTACATAGGAATATTATTAATCAGAGCTACATGTAAATTGTGTTTTAAACAATTGGCATATTGTTGGGTATGTTAGATCCCCACAACTCGCTTGATAAATGCCTTATTTTGGATTTCACGTTTGCCAGCATGGGCTGATCAGTTGACCTTGAGATTTCATTTACCTCCCCAGGAAAATCCAAATCTGTGATTGGCTGCTGTGTATTTTAGTGTGCCGCTTTCGAAACTGTCCCAAGGATGTTCGTATGATGTATAAATAAACCAGAGTTGTATGCTTGATTGTATTGTGATTGCTGGGTGTTTGTAGAATATACTTTCTACGCTCACAAAGGCATTCTATCTTCAGTTTGGGATTCAAGGTAGCCTATCTGGACGCTGGTTCATTGTCTCGTTCGCGTTTATCGACTAAGGTAAACTTGTAATAGCTTCAAACGTACCAAGTGACGAACCCTACACATATGCAAATCTTAAGTGAATTGTTATTGATTAAAGATACTGTATTTAATTTGTTTGAATCGATAATAAGAATCATCCTTAGGACAGTAATTGTTCAGTCTTATTTTGCATATGTGCATACTGTGAAGGCTCCTTGTTACGCATGTACGTAAACATATCATTTGAGATGCTTGAACTATTACGAGTTTATCTTAGTCGGAAAACGAGAGCGAGGATCAGCGATCCGGAGACATGACATGCTACTCTAATCCGAGTGACCCAAACTCCCATTGAGTAAAAGAAGAAGACATGATATGAAGTAGAACTTGTATTCTACAAGCATCCAGAAAGTATGAGGTCTGAATCCCGAGGAGAATCAGCATCCGGGACTAGGGTTCCGGGTCCTGGTCATAAAACGTTACAGATAATGCGTATTTATACAGTTACACTGAATAGGAAACAACATTGAATTCTGTGACATTGACAGTCAGAGCGACCAACTGGAAACAACATTTGATAGTCAGGATGACCAATGGGGACATTGATAGCTGGGACGACCATACTATTGACCAGTAGGAATTAACCAATAAGAAGTGACCAATAGAACTAGACTTAAAAAGAATTCTCTTACGATATTTGATCAATATCTTTCAATATTGACTTTAAGTTGTAAGCATCATTGCCAGAGGTGGATAGTGGTTAGTATTGGAATTCAGGGCATATACTCTGTCCTATCGCGGATTCATCTTTGACTAGATGTACACCTACATTTCAGATGAAACATCAACTCTGAGTTGCATCCTTAATTCTACTACCAACCATTATCCACTTAAAATGACTACTGTTTGAATGTTCAACAGTCAATTTCTTTATTGGCTTATATCGATTTGTTTTAATCTTCGTTTATTATCAATACATATTTATATTTATAGGCAATTCATCAAAATTATATGAATTCAACAGCACAGAAATCATCTAATTCATTAACTGAACAATTCAATTATCAATTGAATGAAAATAATTTAGCTAATATTCATGACATTTGTGAATCAATACATAATCAGTTAATATTTTTAATTGAATGGGCTAAAAATCTTACAGTGTTTACATCATTAACAATCAATGATCAAGTGAGTAGTATTCAATCATGATAAAATTTTTATTGAGATGCATTGAATTCATCAGTCGATGAATGTTATATCGGACAGCCGTTTCATCTTAGTATAGGACTTATTATTCATTAGTGTATATCTATGATCCCTGAAGGTAAGAATCGAAATTCATGACCTTTGGTCTCACACATATCAACGCTTAACCTTTAGACACTATTGAGACAGCATCCAAAAGTATTCGTGTCTTACTCCGATCAATCCACGGTTGTGTGTAACTTCATTCACTGTCTTCGGGGGGCCAAGTGTTCTCAATAGATTGTGCGCACGAGATCGAGGTTCCTCGATTCGCCTCTTGCATTCAGGGATCGTGGATGAGCATTGCTGAGAAGTCACTGATACTTGGACGAAACCTTTGTTCATCGCTTTCAGGTTACGAATAGTGGTCTAACATTGATCGATTCATGATTTCAATGAAACTTTCGAATATGTTATAAAAGAATTAAACCTGAATACCAGGTCATGACGAACATAATATTGTGTAAGATAGAATTACCTTCAATGTAATCCCTGTTTCATCATGTTTATTCTTCGAAGTAACGTTATGAAAGAGAGAAAAGAATTCGATGTTTAGGTGTTCTGTCTTCCAGCGAAAGCTTAAAAAAATATTGACATTTGATTATCATCTGTTTGAGATCGAACTTAAGATGTTACACAATCACAGGTGATGACTGTTATGCCTGCACGTAAACACGTCATCTTGATTTGCTTGAACTATTACGAGTTTATCTTAGTCGGAAAACGAGAGTGAGGGTCGAGGATCCGGCGACACGACATGCTACTCTAATCCGAGTGTCTCAACCCCCATATTGAGTAAAAAATAAGAAGACGTGATATGGAGTAGAACATGAATTCTACAAGCATCCAGAAAGCACGAAGTTCGAGTCCAGAAGCATTAAAAAACGAGGAAAAACATCTGATGACTATCTTCCAAAAGAACGGTTATTCACGCAACTTCATCAAAAAACCTCAACCGAAACCATAATCAGAAGCTAAATCAAGCACAGAAACAAATAAACGCATCATCCTGCCATACATCAAAGACATACATATAGCATACAGCACGACTGCTGAAACCATTTGGAATAGGTGTGGCACACAAACCAACAGAATCACTTCAATCAATCCTATGTAGACCAAAGGACAAAATGACAAAGGAAGAAAAACCAAATATCATCTACAAAATAAATTGCTCAAACTGTGAAAAACACTACATAGGACAAAGTGGACGACCTCTTCAGCTCCGTTGACGTGAACATCAATTAGCAGTCAAACGCCACGACAACGCTTCGCTTATATCAGTACACACCGACAATTATGGACACACATTTGATTGGAACAATGTGGAAATACTGGGTAGGGGGAGGACAAAGAACAATAGGGAATTTTTAGAAGCTTGGCACTCAGGTCAATCAGCAATCAACAAACACATAGACGTTTACCCAATTTATCAACCAATCAGGAAAATCATAGGTGACACAGGATCAAGAAACAGATAAAAAGGGGAATACAATCAAAACAAAGGTGCAAACAACGACAGATTTAAGGTCAACAGAAACCAATCAAGATTGAGGTTAGCAGAACAAGCTACAGGTCAGTTGTGGAGAAATTTGAATGCTTCACTTCTATATCTGAGGTTTGTGCTGATGATGTTGTTCAGAAGAACAATGAAAGCTCCACAAACAAAGCAACCAGCTCAGAGAACAAAACACCAACACAGTCCAGAAGAGAATCAGAATCCCGGACTAGGGATCCAGGACCGGGTCCTGGTCCTAGAATGTTACAGATCCTGCGTATTTATACATTTAGGTTGAATAGGAAATATCATCGAAGTCTATGACATTGACAGTTAAGGCGATCAATAGGAAACAACATTGAAGTAAGTGGCCTTGATATCTAGGACGATCATAAAATTGACCAGTAGAAATTAACCAATAGAAATTGACAAATAATTCTCTTAGGATATTGGATAAATATCCTAACAATCACTATCTTTATGATGGAGTTTCGTCTAATGAGTTCGATATTTTGGTTATGGAGCTTTCAGAGCAACATCATTAGCACTAATTTCACGTAGAAGTGAAGTATTCAAAGTTCTCCACAAATAACTCGACCTCGACCTGAATTGGTCGTTAATGACCTTTAACCTGTCTATACCTCCAAACATAATCACAGTATCGATGATAGCGTCCAAAACAAACAGTACATAATCACTGATCACTCTATGGAAGCTATGATTGATCATTTTATCCTAGGAAGAAGAAATCTCATATTCTGCGACAGCATATAACTAGTTAGCAATAACTAGAGGATTATCGAAACATAATACTTACTTACTTTCGCCTGTTACCCCCAATGGAGCGTAGGCTGCCCACCAGTTTTCTCCAACCAACTCTGTCATGGGCTTCCCTCTCCAGTTCTGTCCAATTTTCGTTCATTCCTCTCATGTATTTCTCTATTTCTCGGCGTAATGTATTCCTTAGCCTTCCTCTTTTCCTTTTGCCTTGAAGGTTCCAGGTGAGGGTTTGTCTTGTAACACAGTTAGGTGCTTTTCGTAGTGTGTGTCCTATCCACTTCCACCGCTTCTTCCTGATTTCCTCCTCCACTGTAATCTGGTTTGTTCTCTCCCACAGTAGGTTGTTGCTGATGGTGTCTGGCCAACGAATCTGAAGCATTTCTCGTAGACAACTGTTGATAAGCACTTGTATCTTCTGGATGATGCATTTCGTAGTTCTCCAAGTTTCCGCTTCTACTGTATGGAGCGGAGACTTGGAGAAACATATAACAAAGATTAATAGATCCCTCGGAAGCTTACAATAGAAGAAACATGTTCATGCAACTAAACATTTATCTACTAATTACAAAATACAAAATCATAACAATCAATCGAGAAATTCTTCACTTTGCAATATTCATTGTTTTGTAACTAGTAAGTAGATTGATAGAATTGAATCACGACTTACAATTAGACAAATGCAACACTGTCAGTCACCAGTCTCATCAGCGCTGATAGTCTGATGACTGACGAAATCTCAGCTCAGATACAGAAAGCTGGATTGGCTTTTGCCAACCGGCGTCACTTATGGCACAGGCGAGATATCCGCTTGTTAACCAAAGGATGAGTGTACTGCGCAGTAGTTCGCTCTGTCCTACTATAGGGATGCGAAACTTGGCCGTTAAGAGTAGAGGACATTCGTAGGTTACTAGTCTTCGATCATAGGTGTATCCGAAGCATTGCTCGTGTATCCTAGAACGAACGAGTAAGCAATAGTATCGTTAGGAAACGAGTTCTAGGTAAGGATGGCAAATCAATAGATGAAGTAGTAAAATTTATTTAGTTGAAGTGGTTGGAACATGTGTTACGTATGCCTAACCACGGACTGCCTGGACGAGCTATGTTTTGTAGTGTGGTAGTAGGTTGGAAGAAAGTTAGGGACGGCCAGACCAAAACATGGCAGAAATTCATGAAGTCACTGACAAGTAGAGTGTGTCATGTTGGTAGATGTAGAATACCTGGTTGGAGTCCGCGAGACGAAAATCACCAATGGTTAGAGACCTTGAACGACATGGCTGAGAATCGTTTGCAGTGGCGCAAATGCATCCATTCGTTGTGTTCTCTCAAATCCTAATCTTCTCGATTCGTCAGCACCTCTACCTTTGTCTCCCTAACCTTATCTCACTGAATTGTACTTCTCTAGTCATATCTGTGAACCCTAGTCTTTTTCATTACCGTTAATACCTCTACTATCTTTATCACTATCGGATGTGATTTGACATTGGCGTCTGTGTATTAAAGTGGTATGGCAACATGAATTTATGTACATACGTGCGAAGTTCTACGTTGCAACTGACTGACTGGCTGACTGCAACACTGTTCAATATTCAATCGTCGTTCAATGAAAATTGATCACCATTGAATATATATGTATATATATATATACATATATAATGCTTTTTCGATTAATTTCAATGAATTATTTTACAATATTTTTTTTAATAATCCTCATAGATTGCATTATTACAAGCGCATGCTGGTGAAATGCTTATTCTAGGCGCTGTCTGGCGTTCAATCACATTAGGACCAACAATTCATAAATCACATGATGATTCTGAAGATATGGAGAAATTGAAACAATTTGAACAGAAAACAACTCATCCTGCACATGATAATACACTTTTATGTGATACATCAGAACATAATACTAGTAATACTACTACTGTTAGTACTATTACCACTAGTACTTCTGCGGATTTGAATGTTTTGGTTACAGCTGTTACAACCACTAATGCTACTCTGACTCTTACTACAACTGACCCTTCTCCTAGTTCGCCTGCCTATCCTCCTTCATCTAAGACTAGTACTACCACTACTACCAACAATAATATTAGTAATATTAACGATACAGAACGATCATTTCAAACTAATCTATGCATCAATGACACCGTGACAAATGATGACAATACTTATATACAAACATTAAATGATGAACCGAAATTTATTCTCTTAGGTAATAATCGTATTATTTCACGTCAAAATCCACAACCGGAAATAGCTAATTTAGCCAATCAGATAATGAATGAAATTTATCAACCAATACAAAATTTATGCTTAGATGATATTGAAATTGTATGTTTTCGTGCAATTATGTTTTTTGATCCAAGTAAGTGAAGTGTATGGATGAAATGAGTAAATCTTTGTACATGATTGCCTGTAGTACTGTTTTTACAGTTAGAGTTTATGCCGGGAGACCATAATGAGAAGTTTGTCAGCATTGGAGAGAGGAACGAACCAGATTACAAGTGAGGGAGAATTTAGGGAAAAACTCTGGAGGAATATAGGACACATATTAAAGAAGTCGTCCAACTGTGTCACGAGGCAAGTCCTAACTTGGGATGGTCAAGGCAGTCGGAAAAGTGGTAGATCAAGGAACTTATTTAGCCGGAAATCGGAGACAGATATGGGAAGAATGAAGAGCAACCCTCGATTATTACCATTATCTCATAACTATTTCGTGCTAGGCAATCGTTGTATTACATTTCAGAAACGTTTCATACCAGTGTAGTGAAGGAGAACACAGGTGAAGGCAACCGAATTGTATTTAACGAAAAAAATACAGAGTTACTCAGTAAAATAGGAAAACCATATCGTAAATCGTTAATTTGCAAATCTTCAATCCATCATCAATCCATTGTCTGACATTTCACTATTCATGCGTTTCATACAAATTCCATTGTGTTCCAACTCTTCCTTTCTTGATCTTCCCCCATCTTCTGCTGCCACACATTACGTTTACACTCACGTCATATACTACTTATAAGTAGCGCGCACCACACCAAGAATAAAATTACTATTCAGTACTGATTTAACTAAGATCAGTTTATGATTTAATCTACTGTAAACAGGATTCTTGGCAAAGTGTGTTTCTTGGTACACCTCTTTCCTATTAGCCTTGAGGATTCCAAGTGAGGGCATGTCTTGAAATGAGGTTGAGTGATTTTCTCAACATGTGCCTGTTCCTGATTCCCAGCTAAGCTGGAATCTGATTTGTTCTCTCCCATAGTAGTTTAGGATCCAAACTGAGGTTTGGACTGAAGAATAACTGTCTAGGTAGGTTAGATAAGCGTCTTGACCAGTTGAAATCTGAAACAAGTGATTGGGTAAATGACGGTTCTATTATTCATCATAACTATAAATGTACATCATTACGTAAACAAATATTACCACTCAGTTATTCCACCAACAATTGTTCAATTAATCAAATCAACAGCACAAATAAATGTTATTCTATCCCTCCTCCTGGACAGATCAGATTCGTTCGACAGATAATAATATTTGGTTGCTTTATAACACAAAGTGTTTCCTATTCTGGGAGTGTGCTTTAATTCACAATCAAAATGCACAGTTCCAGTCAAAGCACGCGACATAATCAAAAGAGGCACAAATCAATATGGCTGTCGCCATGACTAAGTATCAGCTTAAACAACATAATAAATGCAATTCAGAAAGAAACATAGAAACTCAGTGAAGTCACAAAAGAAATAGAAACTATAATAAAATACAAATATTATCATTTCAAAAATGGAATCGAACAGACTAAAAAAATGTACAGTGAATGAATCAATAAGAACAAATTACAAATGTATACATGAAACCATTTTTACAAACAAAGCCATCAAAATGGATCATACAGTAGGTTGTTGTTACGCCTGCATGTAAACACGTCAACTTGATTTACTTGAACTATTACGAGTTTACCTAGTCGGAAAACGAGAGCGAGGATCGAAGATCCGGCAACGCGACATGCTATTCAAATCCGATTGTCCCAACCTCCATATTAAGTTAAAGAAGACAAGACTTGATATGAAGTAGAACATGTATTCTACAAGAATCCAGAAAGTAGGAGGTCCGAATCCAGAAGGGAATCAGGAACCTGGATTAGCGATCCGAGCCCTGGTCCTGGTCGTAGTCATAAAACGTTACACATAATGCGTATTTATACATTTAGGTTGAATAGGATGCAGCATCGAAGTCTGTTACATTGACAGTTAAGACGACCAATAGGAAGCAACATTTGAAGTGACATTAAGAAAGAAGATTGGAGCACGTGACACTGATATAAATAGGACGACCATAAAATTGACCAGTAAGAATTAACCACTAGGAATTGACCAACAATTCTCTTAGGATATAGCAGGAATATCCTAACAAGAATGTGGACCACCTTCGACGTCCGCTTTCATTGCCTCACCTAGAATGTTGTCTAGTCCTTCTGCTTTACCACTGTTGATTCACCCAAACCTTAGATAGTACTTCTTTCGATAAAGTACAATTGTCACTCTAAACATCTGTCAACCAAACACCAATGTCAAGGTTTCGATAAGTAAGTCAATATCCTTCTACATATTGTACATTTAACTTTATGATTGATAACTTTTCAATCTAATTTAATCAATAGGTTGTGAATCGCTATCAGAAAATGGACGTCTATTAATACGTAGTTGTCAATATCTTATCCAATCAGAATTAATGAATATAATGAATAGTAAATTATATTTACCACAAGGTCGTTTTGGTGCTTTACTATTGTTGATACCGGAATTTCGATCAATCACTTATCAAATGATTCATAATTTACAAATTGCACAACAAATGGGTTGTACAAAATTTGATGGTTTATTATCGGAAATTTTATTGAATGGTAAGTAAGTACGTTGAAGATGGTAGATATAAACCTAAAACTCACTTGATAAAGAAATGCCTTATTCTGTCTGGATTTCACGTGTTTGCCAGCAATGGGCTGATCAGTTAGTTGACGTTTCTATGATGTATAAATAAACGAGAGTTGTATGCTTGATTGTATTGTGTTGTGATTGCTGGGTGTTTGTAGAATATACTTTCTACGCTTACAAAGCCTTTTTACTCGCTTTGGAGATTCAATGTAGCCTACCTGGACGCTGGTTCATTGTCTCGTTCGCGTTTATCGTCGACTAAGGTAAACTCGTAATAGCCTCAAGCATACTTAGTGACGAATACAATATAAGTATGTTGAATGTTCAATATATTGTAAACTCAATTGTACATTGAATCATTGATCAATGGTTCTTTTCACTGTACAATATATATGCGTGTTCAATGTTCAATGAACAACTGAGAATAACTCTTCTAAAGAGAAAGGATGAGCACTACTGATGAGTCCCATACCAGGACAAAACAGCCGTCCAGTGCTTCCAGGTTTCTAAAGGTGGTCTAACAAAAATTATTGATTGATGATTTCAAATGTGTAAAAAAACAAACCTCCAAAACTCTGCCCCAAAATATCGTAACAGTGCTCACTAGTAGTGACTAGCTTCGTGAGGAAATTCTCGGAGTTCTAGTTGAGAAGACGTGACCGATGGAGTTCAATCCTGTTGGGTGTAGCTAGTAACTACCAAAGACAAATGGGTGATGTCGCGCAAAATCCTTAGATCAATCAGAGTTAGACATTAACACCGTTCGATATCAGCCGGCCCAGTGGTGCGATGGTTAGACGTTCGCACGCAATACCGAAGGTCCCCAGTTCAAATCCTGTGAGGAGCAGGAGTCGTAGATGCGCACTGCTGATGAGTCCCATATTAGGACGAAACGGCCGTCCAGTGCTTCCAGGTTTCTTCTAATGGTGGTCTAACAATGATTGATTGATGATTTCAAATGTGTAAAAACACAAACTTCCAAAACTCTGCCCCAAAATAAGTAAATATATCTTTGATTCCAGTGTTAGTGACTATAAAACTTTGCTAATTATACCTGTCACATTAATTTCTTTGAATAAGTTGAGATTAGTTTGACTTTATATATCATTATATTGCCAAACCTACAAAAGGCTCGACTGGCTTTTGCTAACCTGCGTCACTTATGGCATAGGCGAGATATCCGGTTGTTAACTAAAGGATGAGTGTACTGCGCAGTAGTTCGCTCTGTCCTACTATACAGATGCGAGACTTGGCCGTTAAGAGTATAGGAATTTCATAGGTTACTAGTCTTCGATCATAGGTGTCTGAGAAGCATTGCCCGTGTATCATGGGACGAACGAGTAAGCAATACTGTTGTTAGGAAACGAGTTCTAGGTAAGGATGGCAAATCAATAGATGAAGTAGTGAAACTTCATCAGTTGAGGTGGTTGGGACATGTGTCACGAATGCCTAACCACCGACTGTCTCGACGAGCTATGTTTTGTGGTGTAGGAATAGGTTGGAAGAAAGTTAGGGGCGGCCAAACCAAAACATGGCAGAAATCCATGAAGTCAGTGACAAGTGGACTGAGTCATGTTGGTAGATATAGGCTACCTGGTTGGGGTCGGCGAGACGAAAGTCACTGATGGTTAGAGACCTTGAACGACATGGCTCAGTATCGTTTGTAATGGCCCAGGTGCATCCACTCTTTCTGTTCTCTCTAATTCTATTCTTCAGAATTCCTCATAATCTCTATCTTTCTCATTCTAAATTTATCTCACTGAAATATACTTCTCGAATCATATCTTTGCTCCATAATCTTCTCCATTACTGCTAATACTTCTACTATCGCTATTACTCTTTGCTTTGAATTGACAGTTACGTTTCTGTACTGACGTGGTATGGCAACGTGAACTGATGTACTTAAGTACAAAGTTCTGCGTTGTATCTGTCTGTTTGTCTGTCTGTCCAAACCTCTTTCATTATCCTCAGTGGTTAATTTCCCCATTTCTGACAAGGTTGAACTTGACTGGTCACGGCTTCTCACTACAACTTTAAAGATTTTACTCACCATATTGATTCATGATTTCAATGAAACTCAACCCGATAATTATAAAATTGTTTTCTTCTTTCCCTCTTGTTTTAAAAACAGATTCAATAAATCAATCAAATCATAAGATTGAACCAATTCAATTAAAATCCACTGTGAAATATCAAAAATCATTAAACAAATCCATATTTACTGATGCAGGAATCACAACATCAACAAACAACGATTCCATAGTACCCGATTCACATCCAATACAACATGACTATACTTTGGCGTCAACAACAGTTGCGTCGTCATCATCATCATCATCATCCTGCTTGTTGATGTCAACCTCATCTAACATACATTTCAACGATTTCTTATCAACTTCAAATGAAATCGACTATACTACACCAAATCAATCGAATCATGCTCATTATGAGCAATCATCTAGTCGAAGCAATAAAATGTATTCCACAACAGCAAACAACACTACCTCTCCAACTTCTACCACTACTGCTACTACTACTACACTACAATCAGTTAGTCATGTTCATTCACCAAGACACGCAATATCACATGACGTAGAATCCATACCATCAGTACAAACATGTAATGCGGTGAATTATTATGAGGGTAATCATAATAATAATAACAACGAAACTTACACGTTCAATAATCAATCTGATATTGATACGTTAGCTTTATATTATCATACGATTCAACCGATCATGAGTACAGTGGGAAAATTGAATACAAATACTGATAATAATACTAATAATAGTAATAATAATAACGATAGGAATCACAGTGGTCTCCATTATAATGATATCAATCAATCAATATTTACAATGCATTGTAAGTCGCATTCAACTTCATTGAACAATAAAAAATTTTTGTTTTAATGTTTATCATTCAATGTTTCAATGTTTATGTTTACGTTTTGAATGTGATTTTTCTTGAAATAAATGATTGTAATGAATGAGAAGACGTTAAAATTGGATAGAATAGTAGTGTATGTGTGGATTGAACACAGTTTTTACACATTTTGAAATCATCAATCAATCATTGTTGTTAGACCAACATTAGAAACCTGGAAGCACTGCAAGACGGCTGTTTCGTCCTGTTATGGGACTGATCAGTGTCAGTACGCATCCACGACTGCTGCACCTCGCAGGATTCGAATCCGGGTATTGTGCGCGAACACCTAACCATCGAACCACTGGTCCGGCGGCATCCAATGGTGTTAATGTCTAATTCTGATTGATCTACGGATTTTGCGCGACCTCACCCATTTGTCTTTGGTAGTTGGTTACTGCCTACACCCGAAGAGGGGTGAACTCCATTGGTCACGTCTTCTCAACTAGAACTCCGAGAATTTCCTCACGAAGCTAGTCACTACTAGTGAGCACTGTTACGATGTGTAAAAACGCAAACCTTCAAAACTCTGCCCTAAACACAGTTTATTAACAAAAGATGTACATCTTATCTTCAGATTTGTATTTGTATTGAAACCAGATTACTAATTGTTTTATTTTGCATGTCTTCTGGATGTCATAAACCTTCTTTGTTAGTACTATACATTCGAATCTGGCACTGTTCTGTTCAATATTAAACTCTAGATGATATTTTTATACTCGTCTCTAGGTATGCTTAAAACTATTACAGGTTCACCTTAGTCGAGTAACGAGAACAAAACAATGAACCAGCGTTCAGGTAGGCTACTGTGATCTCTTGACAAATTTGTACCAGCAAGAAGTCTTGATATAGTGTAGAAATTGTTGTATTCTACAAACACCCAACCAGCACACAATGAATCTAAACACTCAAATTGCGTAAAATTTATAATCTATAGAGACGTCCATGGGACAGTCACAAAAATAGCACACTTAAATGACACAGTAACCAATCACAGCCAAGGATTTTCCCGGCGGGGAATGTGATATTAAGGTCAACTTATCGGTCCATGAAATAAATCCAAAATAAAGATATTTATCAAGCAATTTCTGGGGATCTAACATCCCCAACACTCCTCCCTTTTTTAACAGCTGGTGCTCCAGGGGTCGACTTGCATCTTGACTGTTGTTCGCCTCTGTCTAAGTGCATATCTTCGGGAACGGAGATCAGCTTGTGACTGAGTTTCTTCTCGTTGTGAGGCTACCAGTAGGTTGAAAGTACCAAGCAGGTTGTCAAGGGGAAGATTTTCTGCTTTCGATGAACGATCTGGGGCTAGCCGTTTGTGTATCTGATTTCAATGGCGTGACCACCTTTCGCCTCCGACCTCTACTTCGTACACAACTCCTCCAACTCTTCTGATCACTCGCGCTTCTACCCAGCGACCATGATTTGTTCTGTAGTCAGGGGCGGACACAGGGCATCCCACTTCTTAATAGGATTGTCTCTACTGATGTTGGTGCATTAGTCGGATGCTTCAGGCCATGGATCATTTTCAACCTTCTTCCCATCAGGATTTCGGCTGGGGACTTTTTCTCCGGTAACAACTCATTTGGTGTTGTTCGATAGACATATAAGAAACTTTGTAACGCATCGGCTAGCATCCCCTCCCCTTCTGACTTAACAAATGCTCTTTTAAACGTTTCCACAAAACTTTCCGCTTGCCCATTCGATTGCGGTTGGTATGGTGACGAGCGCAAGTGCTTAATGGCTAGCTGCTGTCAGAAAGTCTGGAATTGTAGGGAGGTAAATTATGACCCATTGTCAGGTACGATCATATCTGGTATACCTTTTCGAGAGAAAATTTCGGTGAGGAGCGAGCTTCAAATGAGAAACTGAATAATGATGTACGTGTCCTATTTCACCCTTGATTCAAATAAGGATTTGAATACCAAGTTTTTGACTGGATATATAATCAATCTCCTCTATAAGCGTATCAGGTTCAGAGATTTTCACTTACTGTTTGACTTGTAAATGTTAAGAAACCACAGGCATCGGGGATGTATATATTCTCATAGGTTGTCAGAAAGTTTATTTCATAGAGTTAGTTGCATCAATAGCGATTAACTAACTCACTGATGATATTGAGTAAAGTTTGAGTTTAAATCCTGTTCAATACTGCAAGACCTGATGACCCTTGATTCAACGGAATAGTTATTCAATCCTCCTCTCTGTTTTTCAGTAGTTATCTGACTAAAAGTATTCTATAATGGTTATCATTTCGCAAGTATTTTTTTCGAAATAACTCAACAACTACTTTAATGTTTATTCAGTAGCTCAAGAAAATTTTGAAAATATATCAAATTCAGATTGTACAGTTGGATGTCCGCCAACTTTAGAACCTGGTGTATACTATACCGATAATCAACTCTATACAACTTATTCATACAATTTAAACATGAATAAGTCAAAATACAATCAAAACATTTACATAACTACTACTACAACTACTGCCAATACTACTAGCACTCATATTAGTAGTATTAGTAGTAGTGATAATAATTATTATGAGTGTAATTCACCGGTCTACACAAATCATCATACAAAAACATACGACACAAATTGACAATCCCAATCAATTGTTGATAGCACAATGAATTTCAAGTATGTTCAGCAGTGATTGATCGTGAATGTTAAAAGTTTACGAGTGAAGAACACAAGACAAAGCAGGTTGTCTACCTGCACACACACACATGTATATTTTTACGATCGTATTTTGTGTAAATTTTCATTGTGACTACTTTGCATGTACAATCACAGCTGTATGTACACAAGATTGTTCCCCTTTTATTTTTTCCTGTGTTCATTGAATAAAATTATGCCTTTTTCTCATTTGATTTGAAAAATAATGTCGCTCGCTTTTTACTTAAATATTTGATATCGAATTTGACGTAAAAAATGACTTTTTATTTCATGCCTTTTGATAAAGAAAATAATGTGATTTCATTTCATATTCTGTCTTGTGCGTTTTTGTTACGCCTGCACGTAAACACGTCATTTTGATATGCTTGAACTATTACGAGTTTACCTAGTCGGAAAATGAGACAGAGAGGATCGAGGATCTGGCTACACGACATGCTACTCAAATCCGATTATCCCAAACCCGATATTGAGTAAAAATAAGAAGACTTGATATGAAGTAGAATCTGTATTCTACAAGGATCCAGAAAGTACGAGGTCCGAATCCAGAAAAGAATCAGGATCCCGGACTAGAGATCCTGGACCAGGTCCTGGTCCTGGTCCTGGACATAAAACGTTACAGATAATGCGTATTTATACATTTTGGTCGAATGAGAAACAGCATCGAATTCTGTGACATTGACAGTTAAGACGACCAATAGGAAGTAACCATTTGAAATGACATTGACAGTCCGGATGACCAATAAGAGACAACATTAAAGTATTTGACTTTGACAGTTAAAACGACCATAATTTTGACCAATAGGATTCGACCAATAATTCTCTTAGGATATTGGATGAATATTCTAACAGTTTTATTCTGAATTTATACAAAAATTGATTTTCTCTCTTTGGAATGATAAATTTGAATTGTGTTTTCACGAAACGTTTTCAATTTTATGCTTGTCATGACGAGTTTAATACAGATTGTCGACTATTCCAAAAGTTGACATTATGAATTGATTTTTGGTCAGTAGTACTGGAAATCTGTTTCAACTTAGTGATGCGGGTTATTACTGATGTGTATTTAAGATTCCTTTTGTAGGGGGAGGATTCGAACCTAGAAAGTGTTAGGTTGCTAAGTGAGTGTATAACTTTCAAATCTGTCATTAAGAGTTCACATTGGCAATGAAAATATCAGTCCAAAATAATTATTGAATGAACTCTTTTAACAAATGCATGCACACTGCGGATGAGTCCACAGTTTTCCTACGAAACTACTATTCAGTGCTTTCAGGTTTCTAATAATGTGACTGCATCATAGTATACGACAATTTGTAAGTACTATTCTACAAAAAGGTAGAATAAACGATATTTTCAAGCTACGTAAAATCTACAAGTCAGCAGAGGCACTGATTTTGAATCTTATAACTCACGTTTCAAACAGTGAGAGATTCGTAAATCTGTATGCCTTTAATAAAGTGGTTATAGGCAGCACCATATTCTTGGCATTGACACATACACAAAGTTACATAGGTTTCATTGGATCACACTACACATAACCATATCAATCACATCTTCGACTGGACTATGCCATGTTAGTAGGCATAGACTACCTGTTTGGTATACTTAAACTTTCATTTGATCTTATCTACATCACAACATCATGCCAGATATATACAGATACATTCTCTGAGTTCATATGTTTTGTTCAACTGAAGGATCAGAATCATAGTGAAACAGTAATCGACAGTTCATAACATGGATGAAGATTGAGCAAGATGATGAGTTGATTGCATTTATACAGTCGACACAGTTCCACAGCGTTTCAGAAGTCTATAGAATAGAGTTTTCTTTGTGAGACAGGGAGTCCTGAATTCGACTACCCCAATGTGATGTCGTGTATGTACACTACGGAGAAATACTATTCCAAGAAAAATTCACCATCCAATACTTGCAGATTTTGAATAATGAATGGTTTAGCTAAGATTTCAATTGCAAAATTACTGTATTCTCCACAAATGACCTCTATTTAAAAACTGACAGATAGGTGATGCATTTTGATTTCAAAATAAGTCAGCTGAAAGGCTGTATTTTGTAGAAATAAGAATAGATAGAAACGAATTGGTTATAATTTTGTTGTGCTCACTAGTGACTAGCTTCTTCGTGAGGAATCTTCTCCAAATTCTAGTAGGAAGACGTGACCAGTGAAGTTCAACCTGTTCGGGTGTAGGTAGTGTCTACCGAAGACTGTGTATGAGGTTGCGCAACTCCGTGAATTGATCAGGTTAGACATTAACACCGTTAAATACCGGCTCAGTGGTCCGATGGTTAGGTGTTCGCGCACAATGCCGAAATTCCTGGGTTCGAGTCCTGAGGGGTGCAGCAGTCGTTAATGCGCACTGCTGATGAGTCCCATACCATGACTAAAGTATGACGAGCAATTTTTATTGAAAGCAGAATCCCCACTAGTAGAAGAACGCATGAAATATATTGACCTTGCCTATTATTTGTTCATAAACTTGATTGTTTTGAGTTAAGTAAAGCATTGAGTTGCTACATTTTTAACTTCTCATCATCGCTTTACTTCAACTTTAGAGAGTCTGCTAGTATGTATGTATGTATGCAACAAATTTGTAGTGATCTACAATTATGACGAGAACGTGACTAGTGTAATGAAAACATTTATTGTTATAACCAGTTGTACTAGTGATTGTTTTACTGAACCTTTTTTTTTTAATTGCACCAAAAACACATATTTTCCGTTGTCTGTGACCTTGAATTTCAAGGATCTATACTCTCAAGATTTTACACATTTTTCATCATTAATAATTGAAAAAAAACAATGAAGTTGTCTTTCTACGTATAAGGTCATTTGATTTATCTAAGAAACAATGAAAACAGGTATGATGAAGTACAACGTGGCTGAGTTACTTCATCTATTCATCACTACTCTCTGGTTTAAACAAAACAAATCTATCACAGCGTGACCTGATTAAAATGTACAACTTTGGTGTTTTATTTTAGAAAGAAAAGTAAAAAAAGGTTGTCGTTGGAATTTTGGCAGACTGATAAAATATCAATAGCTTTCCGTTTAGAAGATTTTTTTTAGAGGGTTGAATGGAATGTTTGCATACATAATGAATGACAAGTAATAAGTGAATTCACAGTGTGTAAGGCACAGAGAATACTACTGAATTGTTGTAGAGTATGATGTTGACAATTGAATTGACTTAAACATTTAATGATAAACGTTTTTGTAATTATACCAAAACATAAAATCCGCATCCTTGTCAAATTATAACAATGTAGAGAAACCCAGGTAGATTTATTGTAAAATCGATGTAAATTGTGGTATACATATCTATCTGTATGTATTGGACACAGATTCAAATCTAACTATGAACAGTATTTTCATTTAAAGTAGGATGGCGTTTTGCTATAGAAAGTCCATCTACGAATGTTGATGTGTGATTTGTGAGTATTTATTTGTAAAACTATACATTACATTAAAACACTGACACATGAACAAAGAATTCGCCTTTCAAAGAGTGATTCCTACCAGTTGTTCTACAATTGTACATATTTTGCATTACCGGGTTGTGAGGATTGTTAAGTTACACATTTTTGAAACCATGAATCGATCAATGTTAGACCACCATTAGAAACGTGGAAGCACTTGACAGCCGTTTCATCCTGGTATGGGAATCGTCCTGTTCGGGTGTAGACAGTAACTATCGAAGACTGTGTATGAGGTTACGCAACTTCATGAATTGATCAAGTTAGACATTAACACCGTTAGGCACTGGCTCAATGGTCCGATGGTTGGTCGTTCGCGCACAATATCGAAGGTCATGGGTTCGAATCCTGTGGGGTGCGGCAGTCATGGATGCGCACTGCCACTGAGGAGTCCCATACCACGACGAAACGGCTGTCCAGTGCTTCCATGTTTCTAATGGTGGTTTAACTTTGATCGATTCATGGTCTCAAAAATTTGTATTTCTACCTTTATCCAAATTACCAAGTCAAATAGTGGTCACATTTAAGACAAGTAGATTGTTGGCGAACTCCGCCAGTAAAACCTTAGGGGCTACTGCCGGTCCCAAGCCCGGATAAAGGAGGAGGGTTGGACATGGGGTTGGCGGCCCCATTCCGTTGAAATCTAACTTGCCAAAAAAACGCTAACCAGAAAAAATAATTCAAACCATTTTAACTCTGCCCTGGCAGTTGGAAGAAGAATTATGACGTCTCGTGATGAAAGCCGAGTCCCCTCGGAAGTCACGGGGCCGATGCCTCTTCTGACAACCAATGCAACCATTTTTTAGGTACATGGAACGTTTGTACATTGTGGGAGACTGGAAGACTATTTCAAGTTGCGGCAGAAATGAAAAGATACAACCTCGAGGTGCTCGGCATCAGTGAAACACATTGGACACAGGTAGGACAACTGAGACTTGCTTCAGGGGAACTGCTGTTATACTCTGGTCATGAAGAGGAAGACGCTTCACATACACAAGGAGTTGCACTGATGCTGTCCAAACATGCACAAAAGGCACTGATAGGATGGGAATCTCATGGACCCAGGATCATTAAAGCATCCTTCAAAACAAAGAAACAGGACATTACAATGAACGTCATCCAATGTTATGCACCTACCAATGACTACAATGACGACGTTAAAGATCAATTCTACGAAAGGCTGCAGTCAGTCGTCGATAAATGTTCACCAAAGGATTTGACGATTCTTATGGGAGACCTGAATGCCAAGGTTGGAATGAACAACACTGGATATGAAGACATCATGGGACGACATGGACTGGGAGAAAGGAACGAAAATGGTGAGAGATTTGCAAACCTATGTGCCTTCAACAAACTGGTCATCGGTGGCACAATATTCCCGCACAAACGCATTCACAAAGCCACATGGATTTCACCGGACCACACTACTAAAAACCAAATTGACCATATCTGTATCAACAAAAAGTTCAGAAGGACCATGGAGGATGTGAGAACCAAGAGAGGAGCTGATATAGCTTCAGATCACCACTTGCTGATCGCCAAAATGAGATTGAAGCTAGAGAAGCACTGGACAGCGGGGCAGACAACATCACAGAAGTTTAATACGGCCTTTCTTCGGGATACCGTAAAACTCAACGAATTCAAGATAGCCCTCACCAATGGGTTCCAGGCCTTTCAGGATCTACTCAATGGAGAGGAAGCAACATTGGAGAACAATTGGAAAGGGATTAAGGAGGCAATCACTTCAACATGTCAGGAGGTCCTTGGTCGCAAGAAGCACCATCACAAGGAATGGATCTCTGTTGGTACTCTTGAAAAAATTCAAGAAAGGAGGAACAAGAAGGCAGCTATCAACGTCTGCCGAACAAGAGCAGAGAAAGTTAAGGCGCAAGCCGAGTATACAGAAGCAAACAGGGAAGTGAAGAAGAGCATCAGAGCTGACAAACGAAAATATGTGGATTATCTAGCAATGACGGCGGAAAAGGCTGCAAGAGACGGAAACATGAGACAATTGTACGAAACAACAAAGAAACTCGCCGGGAACTATCGTAAACCAGAACGACCAGTGAAAAGCAAGGAAGGGAAAATAATCAGCAACACTGACGAACAGCGAAATAGGTGGGTGGAGCACTTTAAGGAACTATTGAATCGACCAGCTCCACTGAACCCACCCAACATCGACGCAGCATCCACGGACCTCCCAATTAATATTGGCGCACCTACGATTGAGGAGATCAGTATAGCCATCAGACAAATCAAGAGCGGCAAAGCAGCAGGACCAGACAACATTCCAGCAGAGGCAATGCAAGCAGATGTGGAAGCAACTGCGAAAATATTTCACATTCTCTTCAAGAAGATTTGGGATGAGGAACAAGTACCATCAGATTGGAAAGAAGGATACCTGATCAAAATACCAAAGAAAGGCGATCTCAGCAAGGGTGAGAACTATAGAGGCATCACTCTTCTTTCAATACCAGGCAAAGTCTTCAACAGAGTATTGTTAAACAGAATGAAGGACTTCGTAGACGCCCAACTTCGAGATCAACAGGCTGGATTTCGTAAGGATCGATCGTGTACTGACCAAATTGCTACATTACGGATCATTGTGGAACAATCAATTGAATGGAACTCACCACTCTACATCAACTTCATCGACTACGAGAAAGCATTTGATAGCGTGGATAGGAAAACACTGTGGAGGCTTCTTCGACACTACGGTGTGCCTGAGAAAATAGTTAACATCATACGGAATTCTTATGATGGATTCAACTGCAAAATCGTACACGGAGGTCAGCTGACAGACTCTTTTGAGGTGAAGACCGGTGTCAGGCAAGGTTGCTTACTCTCACCCTTTCTCTTTCTCCTGGTCATCGACTGGATTATGAAGACGTCAACATCTGGAGGGAAGCACGGTATCAACTGGACAGTTAGGACGCAGCTGGACGATCTGGACTTCGCAGATGACCTGGCTCTTCTATCGCACACTCAACAACAAATGCAAGAGAAGACGACCAGTGTAGCAGCAGCCTCTGCAGCAGTAGGTCTCAACATACATAAAGGAAAAAGCAAAATTCTCCGATGCAACACAACATGCACCAACCGAATCACGCTTGATGGAGATACCTTGGAGGACGTTAACACCTTCACATATCTGGGCAGCATCATCGACGAGAAAGGTGGATCGAACGCAGATGTGAGGGCGCGGATTGGCAAAGCAAGGGCTGCATTTCTACAGTTGAAAAATATCTGGAACTCCAAACAACTTTCAAACAAAACCAAAATCAGGATCTTCAATACAAATGTCAAGACAGTTCTACTGTATGGAGCGGAAACATGGAGAACTACCAAAGCCATCATCCAGAAGATACAAGTGTTTATTAACAGTTGTCTACGCAAAATACTTCGTATTCGTTGGCCAGACACCATCAGCAACAACGAACTGTGGGAGAGAACAAGTCAGATTCCAATGGAGGAGGAAATCAGGAAGAAGCGGTGGAAATGGATAGGACATACACTACGAAAAGCACCCAACTGCGTCACTAGACAAGCCCTCACATGGAACCCTCAAGGCAAAAGGAAAAGAGGAAGGCCAAGGAACACACTACGCCGAGAAATAGAGAAAGATATGAGAGGAATGAACAAACATTGGACAGAACTGGAGAAGGAAGCCCGGGACAGAGTTGGTTGGAGAAAACTGGTGGGCGGCCTATGCTCCATTGGGGGTAACAGGCGAAAGATCAGAGAAGAAGAGAAGATCAGATTGTTGGCGAAATGATGAAGTGTTGTAGTGGAATACTTTTACTACTACTTCGATATACCTGCTGTTTATTTCGCCCAATTTCTTAGTGTAATATATACAACAATAATTATGATTTCAACTGGCACAAATACAACTAGATTAGCTCTTGATACCCTTCAATTTTAACACAAAATTCTAACTGTATATACAAATTTTACTTACTTCTATTCTCATAACTATTTGTCAACTACGATTTTTGAAGACATCAATATAGTTCGTTGTAAATATACAAATGATTCACGATAGAGAGAGAAATCACAGATATACACAAAGTATCATTAATACTTATGTCATTCTCCATAAAAAGACAACACTTTATATCATTCTCAAAAAAAAGTTTATTTTATTGAATAAGAAAACTTAATTCCTATCAATCAAAATGCACCATTTCCTTTTCTAAATTAGAATTACTGAATTGAGAAACCGATTCCCATCAAGTTCATTTCACACTGTATACTTGTAGAAGAGTATTTTCATCAAACGTGTACAGTTTACTATTTTACACATCACAATGACAAATTCAGAGATAAATCATGTCCTGTTGTAGTACAGTGATTAAGAAAAGTAAACCGAATTCAATGAAATCACTGGATTATTGGCATAACGGTTCAAACACGATATCACATTAGATTCTAACTACTAATATTATGTATTTTCTGATTCCTGTTAATCATAGAAATAGCTGTTGTTACTTTGAATCAAACTCTGTAAAACGATAAATGAAATTATAAGATTCTGTATTTAACCGTGATGAAAAATGAGACTTCAAATTCATCACATCAACACATGATCAACTCTTCTGGAATAATGTATAATTCTAGTCCAGTTACATCCAGGTCTCACTGAGACAGGATAAATCATCAATAGACTAGTATGATGAGGTCTGAATATCTCTTTCCAAATATTCTTTAGATGTATTCCTCACTTCAAAACGATCATGGGGATGATTTCAAATGCTCTCATCTCTTCGTACAAAGCTGAAATTATTTTGTGAATTGAAATCAATGCTTTGATTGGTTGGATGTCACATATTCATGTGTGATCATGTCAAAGTATAGTGTAGTACAGTGTGGTTGGTTATTAGCGCAATGTTTACACCAATCAGCACTGTCAACAGACAGACACAAATATTCAATCATCTTACCTAATCAGTTATTGGTTCAACATTTATTCACTTCACATGTCCTCCTCCGTAAAACAACATTCTACAACAAATACTATATAAGTACAAGTTCTTTTCATCTAAATTATCTGTCCATAATGAAAATAACAATCTTCACTGCATTACTGCTCATTGTAGTTGTATGTTGTAATGGTGAGTTTTTCGTTCTTCCAACTCTATCTTGTTAAACAAGCATTCATTGATCATTAGCTGAAACGTCGATCTTTTGTGTAGTGGTACTTGTTATGAGATATCACATTGTATAATTTGTTAACTGATTTAGATGTTTTCGGTACACCAACTATGAACAGAAGGAGTAAGTCTGAAGTTGGTTTGTTTGATAGTTTGTGTTCATGGGGTGCAGAAATATTTGTCTAATCACTGTTCACATGGAACATGCTCCCAAAGAAACACTGTTTTTCCGTTGCTCACATCATAGACAATGTCAATTTGTTTTTGATAGAATTTTTCACCTTAACTTGACATCTACCAATCCAGTACATTTCAATGAACTTGCTGAAGTAGATTAGACTGTTTCACAATAAAAATCTGATGAATAGTGATCAAATAGGAATCTCATAGATGTCCTTTGTATTTCATCATGTAAAACCTCATCTTTGAACAAAGCTAGAATTTATTAGTCAACATATTCCGTTTGAAAATCAAACATGTTTGACCACGATTTACAATGATTTGACAATATATATTTGTCTTGTTCTAATATTCTGTCGATACAAGGATTTCAGAATCAGGTCCGCGCAGATAATGGTGGTGAGTTCCATATTTATATCGATTTACTTCATATATATATTCATGTTTCATTCAAAGCAGAAGAACGTTTGTGACTCATTTTTTTATCTTGGATCATTCAACCATTGCATTGAGTTGGTTGTTTTATACTTTTACAGATGAGGAACCCTGGGAGACATTCGATGAGAATGCAGGAGGTAATCCTATGTTGTTAATTATTTCGACTGATCTTTGATATTCAATAAATTTTTTGTTAAAGCATTCACCTAAGACATCAGTCATGGAATGACAACATTACCAAATTATTACTTATGATATGTGAAATGATCACACATACTCTTATTTCATTTCAATTTTTATCAGCACCAGTCGATAATTGCATTGTACGGAAGTAATATTCATGACCAAGTTGACTGTTTCCTTCATTAAAAAACTATCTAAAATCGTCATCAGCCATCACCAGTAAAATCTCACACAAATACACTTGTTTCTGTAATGAACTTTGTTGTTTCGTGCATCTCAATTCCATACTCTGTTTGTTTTTTTTAATCGGTTATCATCAATCAAATGTATAGTTGAAGAATATGTGCGGTATTATAGACGAGGTGGTAAGTTATCGAAATCCTGTTGATAATTGTTTGTAAACATTTTGAAATCTTCATTAGTTTATTCGACTAAGAAATGTATGTTATTTTAGACAATAGAAACACTTTCCCCACGTACACCATAATTGACTGATATGAAGTTTGAATGCAATCCGACCAAATTCATGATGATTTCTGGATGACATTTGATGTAACTTCATTTCAAAAGAAACTACATCCATTGTGTTCTTATTGTAGGTAATTCTCAGACGACAGATTAAACGAATTCTCAGTATGTTCTTGATTTATTGTGATGTGTATTTCGCTCATGTTCTGAATCGTTACCGTGCACGAAGTTGCATATTCTGTGATACAAATCTAATCGGAATTGTACAAAATCTCATACCGAAATCATTCCTCTCCGGTACTTCATTTACCTTGGCTTCCCTTAAATAGTATCACAACGTAATACACTTGAAACGACATCAGACAAGCATCTCCATGAAACATAGACACACAGAATAATTTACAGTCCAATATAAAACACTTGTATTAGGTGTCATATCATTTTACATGATGTGACACACAGAGGTGTACGTCATTCAGTGTTAATTTTATCTCGAAGTATATATTTCTTTCTCTCTCTACATCACTTATGCACATCATCTCATCACCGAAATAAACTACTAACTAGCCAAGTACAGATTATTGTATTTGGCTTTGTAGTCAGTCAAAGCTCTAGGAAACTGGCTCTACTGTTGATATCTAGGTACCGACTGTAAAATAGGTGTAGACACTATCAAACTTGCATTAAGAGAGATGAAAGTTGAACACCTAGATCATTGAAACACTGTCACAACAGTGGCATAAACAGTACTAGCGAATAATTTTGTTTCGTTACCCTTTTTCATTGTAGATAAATGAATCTGGGATTAATTAACCATGAAACTTTCATTCCAATAAATATTTTCATTCAAGATATTTCGGTTTTATTCACTTTTTCGAAATGACTAATTGGCATTTCATGTAGTACAAACCAAATGCTGTATAATGCCGAATTAATTTACAAAATGATAATATGAAACAACCAGTCGAACAATGAATTCTGTTCAATTTTCAGGCATAACATAATAGATTCCATGTAAATCAGTCAGTTCATCTATCATGATTATCGATCATAGCAGTTAGGTGGATTTCAATGAACGTATACAGCTGCACCACTACGTTATGTAACGACGAGGACTGTTGTCGTAATCTAATCATACTTAGTTAAACGAAGTCTCAATGTTGAAATCAATTATTTCTCATTTGACCATCTCGTTCAATGAATCCCCTAACATCAGCACATATTGAAGATCTAGAATAAACATTTGAGAGCTGACAGTAAACCACCGTATTTAAAAAGCGTATAGACTAAATGTACAAGCTGTCAATCTTGTAGATTGTAGCAACATTGAGTTACTCAGTTAAATAATCACACTATAGAATTTAGTCAAATCAATTCGATAACCACAAAGAACTATTATTCTGCTCTTATAACTAATTAGTCACGAAAAAGCAACTAACCGTTAACCAAATATTTTAATGTAATGTAAATGACTCGAATACTAGATGGTTTCAGTTAAAAAAGTCGTTGATGAAAGAATTACCTTGACAAACAACTAATGAACAATAATAGTAGACAAATCAACCGTGGAAGTTTCATACAGTTGACAATCTAACATGTTAACATATTGATCGACTGCAACAGTCAACTGTCACAACCGCCAACATTCTTCAAGCAGTAAGGAAAATGCAAAACGAAATCACCTAATATATGTTAGCGAGTTTGTGGTGGTCGAATGGAATCACCGAACAAATAAGTGTTAGTACTTCTTGATAACGGGTGTAATGACTTCTTGTTGTTGAAGGCGATTCAATTCTTTATCTACTGTTGCTAATGTTGCTTAATGTACGGTTCTCTATGGATGGAAAAGAGGTTTAGCCTACAGTTTCAAGTGTTGCATTCATGGCCGTACACCAAGCTAATCCAGGTTTGAAGATGGTTGAATATTGCGTTATTAGATTGCTCGTTTATGGCTTCAGGGTCATGAGGTTATGATACCAGGTGATATATGGTTTTAGCGTGACATCATCTTTGTTGTTGAAGACAATTCAATTTTTCATCTACTATTGGTGAAGTTGAATAAGGCAGGGGTCTGTTTGGATGGAAAACAAGCTTAGCCCCAGGTTTCAACTGAAGTGTTGATTTCATCGCAGAACACCGACCCAAACGAGGTTAGAAAGTAGTTGAAAACTGCGTCATTATGGCTTCAGGCTCATGCAGTTATGATAGCAGGTGATATATGGTGTTTAACATGACATCAGCTAGCTGACAGAAACAATCCCACTAAATGACGAATCTCGGTAAGTAAGTCTACATTCCAGTTGTACTAACAAACGAAGTTAAAAATCTATCATGACGGCACGTAAACATGTCAACTTGATATGTTTGAACTATTACGAGTTTACCTGGTCGGAAAACGAAAGCGAGGATCGAGGATCGTAAAGAAACGACTTGACCATACTGATGAGATGGAAGACAGGGGATACGAAGACATCATGGGATGGTAGTAACTGGTAGAAAGGAACGAGAACGGTGAAAGATTTGCAAATCTATGTGCTTTCAACAAAGTGGTCATAAGCGGCACCATATTTCCACACAGACCTATATGGGTTTCATTCAACCACACAATACTGAACTAAATCGTTCAAATCGTCAGTGGAACTGCATAGAAGCAAGACAGGTGGGTAGAGCACTTTACGGAACTCTTCAATCGACCAGTCCCACTGGACTCATCAAACATGGAAGCAGGACTCACAGACGTCCGAATTAATGCTAGCCTACCAACGATTGAAAAGATCGGCATAGCCAAATAAGGAGCAAACAAATAATGAGCGACAAATCAGCATGGCGGTACAACATTTCAGCTGAGACAATGAAAGCAGACATATCAGTAAATACGAATATACTCCATCTTCTCTCCTGTAAGATTCGGGATGAAGATCGAGCACCAACAGACTGGAAATAAGGATACAAGATCAAAATACCTAAGAAAGGCGATCTCGCAATGTATGACTGTGGTGTGCGCTACTTATAAGTAGTATATGACGTGAGTGTAAACGTAATGTCTGGCAGAAGAGGATGAGAGAAGATCAAGAAAGGAAGAGTGGGAACACAATGGAATTTGTATAAAACGCATGAACAGAGTGAAATGTCAGACAATGGATTGATGATTTGCAAATTAACCGTTTACGATATGGTTTTCCTATTTTACTGAGTAACTCTGTAATTTTCGTTAAATACGATTCGGTTGCCCTCACCTGTGTTCTCCTTCACTACATTAGAATTACAGTGGCATCACTTGACTCTCAGTATCAGGGAAAGTCTTCAGCTGAGTGTTGTCATGCCTAAGGAATTTCAACGATCTATACTCTCAAGATTTTACAGTTCTTCTCAATTAATAATTGAAAAAGGCAATGAGTTTTTCTTTCGACCTACATTGTCATGTGATTTATCTAAGAAACAATGAAAGTGGTATGATGAAGTACAACGTGGCTGAATTACTTCATCTACTCATTACTACTATCTTGTTTAAACAAAACAAATCTATCACAGCGTGACCTCATTAAAATGTACAACTTTTGTGTTTTTTTTTTAGAGATAAGTAAAAAAAGGTTGTCGTTGGAATTTTGGCAGACTGATAAAATATCAATAGCTTTCCGTTTAGAAGTTTCGTTAGACAGTTGAATGGATCGTTTGCACACATCATGATTAACAAGTAATAAGTGAATTCACAGTGTGTAAGACACATAGAATTAATTCTATTTTGTCTGACAATACTACTGAATTGTTGTAGAGTAGTGTGATGTTGACAATTGAATTCAAACAGAAAATTTGATGATATACGTTTTCTTCAAATTATGTCAACTGATCAGCCCATGTTGGCATACGTGAAAACCGAAATAAGGCATTTATCAAGCGAGTTTTGAGGATCTTACATCGCCAACACATTTTCCTATAGAAGACAATATGCACGAATGTTGATGTGTGATTTGTGAGTATTTATTTGTAAAACTCGATATTACATTACAAAAAGCGACATTTGAACGAAGAATTCAACTCAAATTACCAACTCAAATAGTGGTTACATTTATGGAAAGAAGTAGATTGTTTGCGAAATGATGAAGTGTTGTAGTTAAACGGAAACATTTATTATTGTAACAATGTCTGTTTTATTGTACTGCTTTTGTTTAACTGTACTAAAAACCATTTTCACAATAGTTGTTTTTCTGGACCTAAAAGCGGAATTTGACTCTGTGGATCGTGAGGTTCTGTGGTAGTATCTGTCATTGAAAGGTGTACCAAATAAGTTTATTAACCTTATACAAGCTCTCTACTCGTACACCATCGGTCGAGTGAGAGCATATGGCGAACTGTCATCGGAATTCTTTACTTCAAGTGGTGTCCGTCAGGGATGTCCACTCTCTCCATTCTTGTTCAATTTTGTCATAGACATGCTACTAGATATAACATTTTCTTCGTCTGAATTTTCAGGAGTAGACCTTCTACCAGGAGGTTCGCTTATTGACTTAGAATATGTCGATGACATTGTCCTACTTGGTGAAGACGCTGACAAAATGCAGAGTCTTCTGACTACCCTAAGCAACAATGCAAGCATGTTCGGGATGCGGTTCTCACCCTCGAAATGCAAAATGTTGTTTCAAGACTGGCTTGCGTGATAGGGAGTGTAGCATTTGAGCGTGTAGACCGCTTCACTTATCTCTGGAGTTTCACCAGTGTTGATGGCCTGGCGACTGACGAAATCCCAGATCAGATAAAGAAGGCTCGATTGGCTTTGGCCAACCTGCGTCAATTATGGCGAAGGCGAGATATCCGTTTGCTGAACATAGGACAAGTGTACTGGGCAGCACTTCGCTCTGTTCTCCTATATGGATAACCGGTAAGAGTAGAGAACTTTCGTAGGTTACTAGTCTTCGATCATCGATGTCTCCGGAGCATTGCTCGTGTATCCTGTGACAACTGATTAAGTAATGCTGTTGTTAGGAGACGGGTCGTAGGTAAGGATCGCAGGTAATAGATGAAGTAGTGAATCGTCATCAGTTGAGGTGGTTGGGTCATGTGTTGCATATGCCAAACCACCGACTGTCTCGTCGAGCTATGTTTCGTGAAGTATGAATAGCTTGGACGAAAGCTAGGGGCGGCCAGACCGAAACATGGCAGAAATCCATGAAGTCACTGACAGGTGAACTGAGTCATGTCGGTTGGTGTAGATCATCTGATTAAGATCTGCGAGATGAAAGTCATTAATGGTGAGAGACTTTGAATAATATGACTCAAAACTGTTTGCAATAGCGCAGGTGCATTCACTCTTTGTGTTCTATGAAATTCTAACCTTCTCAATTAATCATCACATCTATCTTTCTCTTTCTAAATTTACTTTACCTAAATTATACTTCTTGAATAACATTTTCGATTCCTAATCTCTTCGATTAATTCTAATACTTCTACTACCTCTACTATTATGGGATTTGAATTGTCAATTATATCTCTGTGCTAACGTGTTATGACAATTTAAACTGCTGTACTTACGTGCAAAGTTCTACGTTGCTGTTGATGATGATGATGATGATGAAGAATCATCGTTGCGCAAACAGGATTTGATTAGGAATAATGTAAGGAAATCCGATGAGAGATTTCTTCCAAAACACATTCTGTCATTCGAGCAAATCGGAGTACGATCCTGGACCACTCATGACTATTTTTAATGACCACAATGACAACTCATTTCATGTTATAAAAATTTTCAATTATCCTTTATGGTTTCACTGATGAAACTTCATCTTACTTTTCTTCACAAAACAATCATTGATGTGGTTAGACATATGTTAATCTTGACTGAGGAACCAACTATTACCGTACATC